GATGAGGGCCTGATGGTAAGTTTGGCCATCATGCATACCTGGAGATCTTGCTGCAAGAGCTAGGTAGTTCGATGATAACTTCGTAAGTGGAAATTTTCCATCTATATAAGGTCCGAAAAGTTGAAAATTGGTGAAATGTCATGAATTTCTCCCTGGAAATTATCAATTTTGATATAAATGTGCTAAATCAGTGTAAAAATAAACTCTGACAACTATCATGAATCGATAGAACATGCAACACACGACTCTAAGAAAATAATCGAAACATTTTTTTGACCAAAATAAGGAATAATCTGTGAATTTCAGTCTCAGATTGAACTTTGAAGTACCTGCCTGAGCATTTTAGTAAATGTCTGGTGTGACTTCTAGCCCGCTACATTTACAAATTTTCCGGGAAATTTGTCTTCTTGATCAGAGATTTGGCAACATTTGGTCGCTGACACGGCATTTTTCCTTTGCATGTCAGTTTTGAAAAAAAAAAAAAAAATTAATCAACTGAATTGCAATGCAATTTAAACCTATAGAAACGGACCCATTAACAGGGTGTCCACCATGAACACCTCAATGATCGAGTCTGTACCATAGCTTCAAATGGGAAAATATCGCCAGGCGATCATTCAAGCCTCGCCTCTGAAATCAAGTAAGATCTAGAATCTATTACGCAATTGCAAGAGCAAAGATTCTAATTTGATTTGTACACACCATTAATTTCCAGAAGCACCCTGTGAACACAAATCGCTTACTCTCTTTTCGCGGGCGCCAAACATTTTTTTCCGCGATTCAAATTTATGATTATTTTATGGGACCAGTCCATAACGTTCACCGCCCTGCGGCGTGCGGGACGCCACGGCGCGGCGGCAGGATTCCTACTTCTCTATTGGCGCGGATTTGCACTGACAGTTGCCGTTCGATTGGAAAAATTCGCCTAGTTTCCATAGCCTATTATGAGAAGCTCCATGTGATGTAGGCGAATTCTTCGTAAAGCGGCAACGTACTCTGCGTGGTAACAAACGAGTGAATGGGCCGATCGCTCCAGCCCCCATTCATAGAAAGCCCCAGAATGTCGTCCAGCTGGGCTCTGTCAGAAATTCCTCAATTTTTCATGATCTTTTCGCTCCCTCCCCACTCTCCGCGGGCTTTAAAATTTATCGCAAGTGCGCCGATGGAAAAAGTAGAGCTATTAAAATGAGCACTGCGTGAGGGTTTTTATGAAAAGAGCGTTTTTTCAAGCGACTGCGGTCCTTTGACGGGCTGAAAAAGTCGTGCGATTTGAGTGTTTGTTCATGCAATGGTGTCACTACTTTGTTATGCGGAATGAACCGTAGGCAATCGAAATATACAAATATGACCCAGTTTGCAACTTAGAACAAATGATCTAATACTGGACATTCAAAAAGATGAGAGTCGTTTGCTTGCGCACACATTTCTTTATTTCGTTCATTTTTACAGTTATTATGGATGATTTAACATCCGTGCACCTGCTGTGTATGATACCTTACTTGAAATGTTCTCTTGAATGACTTAAGAGAGCTCGTTTGCATCAAACTTTTGATCAAATTAGATCAATATTCTTGGGAACAAAGTTTTATACTGATTCATGTTTCAACGATAAAAGGCACTTACATAAAAATATTTGCGGTCGTTTGTTCAATTTTTTGAGCATTCAATTAACACTGTAAGGTTGCCATGAAATATCAATCTGAAGAATTGTTAATAAAATGTTCAACAAATTTCAACAATTCACATCACATTCGCTTGTTATGATGATCAATTTATCGAACTAAGTCACTCACCCTTCAACAACCCTTGCCTCCAAAGATTCAGGTGACCTCCTCCAGAAAGTTACAATTCTAGATTCGAATTGTCTTGGTAGTTTTTTTACTAGCATTAGATTCACCTACTTCCACATATGCGTGAATTATAATTATCTAAACGGATGGCACTTCAACCTAGTCGTGTACTCCCTCGGAACAAATCAGCTGAATTTTTGCCACCGCGATGAGCGAGGGGCGATGCGCATTTTTGCGTGTAGACAGAGTTTTTAGTCGAAATTTCAAAAACCAATTTTTTTTTTTTTTTTACCAAAAATTGATCAACCACGATATTGCCTCCTCCTTCTCTTGAGAAGGATCATGTATTACGTCCATGGTGAAGCGTCAACGATCGATTACGCGGCCCTGCGTTTTTTTGGTCATGTGCAGTTACATGGCATGTCGTGATTGGTTCTTAAATATTTTTAGCGCTGAATTCGGGGAAAATATCCAAAAAGTTCCATCACGTCAGGATTTTCCGCAAATTCAAACTTTTGGTTGGGGAGGGGGTCAATTTTTTGGAAATCCCACCCCCCAAGAAACCAAAATTTTAAATTTGCAGAAAATCCTGACGTGATGGAATTTTTTAAATATTTTCCCCGAATTTAGCGCTATTAAATGGACCGCGTTAAACAGAAAGGAACCAAGCCACATCAGCTGTTGCCAAATTTAACGGGGACATTTTATTTTTTACGAGAGAACGTTAGTGCGGATTTCTTTAAACATTTTCAGGAATTTGCTTCGCATTGTAGAAAAAATCCACAGAAATTTGCACAAAAAACCGCACAACCGTTTTTATGTAAAAAATTAAATTGCCCAATTAAATTTGGCAACAGCTGATGTGGCTTGGTTCCTTTCTGTTTAACGCGGTCCAAATACATAAGCACCTATTAAGACATGCCATGCAACTCAACATGACCAAAAATACGTAGATCTGTGTTATCGATATTTCCCCGTTTGGGGCTACGGTCAAAAATCGATTAGAAAGGTTTTCGCTTCATCGATCCTTTCCATACGTTTAAATGGCACATTGATCGATAAACCGTAAAGCACGCCACGCCACTGTTTTACGTATATTTGCCATTTGTCTATATTTTAAAGGGGGCGGGGGAGAGGTTGTCGCGAAATGTACAATGATCAATGCCGAAACTACGTACGATTTCCGGCAAAGTGGAAGTGACTCATCGTGAGAACTACACCTGCTTACTCATACACGGCGAGCATCATCGATTCTGTTTCCGATTACGAAACTTCAAGCAAGCAGTGCCAGGTCGAATGCAAATCTTCCCAGTTTACCTGTCATCGGTTCGTAAGTCCTATTATTGTGCTTTGCTGTGACGATACTTGTTATGCTCACGGCTCATCACCGCTCATAGTACGCGGGCACTTGAAACTTACGGCAGCTATCTGTATCCGTCTCAGATGTCAATTCTCCTAAATATTGACATTTCGTTCGAGTCTGCTATGTAAAAAAGTGGTGCGGGAGAGCTGTAACTCCGTCAAGGAGGATACTGCCATGCTAAGGAAAATTGCCGTATGAGCCTTCAGACATTGCCAAATTTTCGTTGACGTATCATACATTTCGTTAAAATGATTTTCTTCTGATTTTTCAGCAAATTTTGTTCGTAATTTTATCAAAAATGTCTGAAAATGTCAAAGGAAAATATTCATAACTCTCTTCAAAAACTACTATTTTCTGCGAAGTGTTTTGGCAAATATGCATAAAATATGGCAAAATATGCACAAAATATGACAAAATATGCATTAATTTCGTAAAAAATTAATTTAAGATCAGGAGGGATTTGGAAACTCTCGAATGTTCATACAGGGATCTTCCTTAGCACGACAGAATGGGTCTAGCTGTTACACACAGAGACGATATTTTAGAGGCCTGCCGGCCCTTACTGTCTAACAGTGGCGAGGCGTGAATGATCGATTATCCATATTTCCCCATTTGAAGCTATGGTAATGAATCGATTATTATTGAGGTGGTGTTGGAACGTGAGGAGCATCCTGTTTATCAACCCTTTTCTACAGGTTTAAACAGCAGATCAATCGATGTATCGCAAAGCATGCCACGCCACTGCAATCTGAGCAATCGGGTGAGCCAAAAGTTGGATTGGACTAAATTTTGCAATTAGCAACTATAATACCTGGCTCGTTTCAGAAACAATGTATATTCTACTGGTTTCCCTGTGCATATATGTGTTTTTACGGAAGGGCCAGACATTTTTAGTCTCTAATGGCAAAGTGTAGTCTAATTCGTGGGTGAGCTTTATTTGAACGTATTTCTTTCAAACGGAAGTATGTGCATTATAACGTAAGCCCTATTATGCATAAATTCTTATTGGTTTCAGGGCTCATATTGTAAAGTACATAGCTCCGTTTGGCAGAAATACGTCCTTTTCTCGTTGAATGATGGTCAATGAGTAACTTGTTGAGCAAAGCATCGATGAAGTTCGCCTATTGATGATAGCCTTGATAAAAAGGAGCGGAAATTTTGAATCCTTGCAATGCAAATACGTGGTTTCGTACTTTGTCCATCGAATTGATACATCCACAAAAACTGACAATTTTGGAATGCGTAGAGCCACAATTCTGCCTTGCTAAGGAAGAATGCCGTGTGAGCCTTCAGACGTTGTCAACTTTCCTCCGATAAAAACCGAATTTACTGGGAAAATCGCGAATATTTTTTTCCAAAATTTTCAGACAATTTTGTACGCAATTAAATCTAGAATATCTAAAAATTTCGAGGAAAAATATGCATGAATGTAGTCAAAAATACATGTTTTATCAAGGGAAATTTGGAAACTCTACAATGTGCATACGGCGTTCTTCCTTAGCATGGCAGCAGCCTGATTGTTGAAATTTATGTCGGCACGACAAGAATCGAAAATCGATATATTACACGGGGCAGATAGGGCTATGTCTTGTCTTATCGTGCCGACATAGCCAGTTAAAGTTTCAACAATCCGGCTGCAGAATGGGATCCCTTATCTCGAGCCTGGGCCGTCAACACTCATCCCGAATGCGCCGCCGCTGCATCTGGCAACGTTGCATAGTGATACGGTTCATATTTAGATATTTGGGGAGTTGCGCTTTTGGGCGCCGTAAGTGTGCTCAGCGATAAGATTACGAAGAGGAAACGTCTCACTTGAATACCTGGCAAGGTGCGCCCATCCAACCGACTCATCCATCAGTTTCCGTTTCGAAACGCGGCCCGCGCAACCATCTCCCATTTTTTTCTGTCCGATTTTTCGTTTTTTCAAATTTTGAGTGGCCTCGAAAAATTTGCATCATTTCTATCGTGTTTTACTGCGTAACGTGGTGACCATCCATCCAATTTCGAAAATATCGGGATTCTGGGGTTCGATGCAGAAGTGACCGGAAGTAATTTGCATCGGCTTTATCGTGTACCGTGTGTTGTGTATTAAGTATCGTGTATCGTGTATCGTGTATCGTACACTGCGAAATACAGTGACCGCCCCCGCAACTTTGGATTTCAAAATCTAGTGACCTGGAAAAATTGCATCATCACTATCGTGTGTTATTTCACGAAGAATCGTGACCACTGATAAAAGTTCCGTGAAATACCCATCCATAGATTTGGCAACATTGCTCATCGCGACGACACTCTAAAAAATTGCAACCTAACCATATTTTACAATATTGTTCAAAAATTACTCAGTTTGAGTTATTTTCTTGAAGAGTGTACCATTCGTTGGCCCAATCGTTGATTCAATCTGCCTTTTCTCGTTTTTTGTCGTGGTGTTCAGTATAACCATCCTTAAATTTTGAAATACACAATATTTTAAAGTCTTTTTGAGAAGGAGGGCGTATTGAAACGGAAATAAAATAATTTCATTATTTAGTGAAGTGTGTGTTTTTTTTGTTCCCCGATTCGAGAAAATCAACCATAGCGGCTTCAAATTTTAATTAAATGTGATTAAAATCACCATCAACTATCCTTGTGGTGCTCTTCAACCTTACGGTCTCTGTGCAGTTTTTGACGGATCTATCACGTGGTTTTTAAATAAACCGGCTTTCCGCGTTAAAAGCTTATCTGTGCGGTTTATAGTTTCAAAGCTCAGCGAGGAATCATTTGAAGTGCAGCGGTTGTTTACGTCAGATTTGAAACACGCATACCTAGAAAAACTCGAGAAATATATACACATTTTAGTGCTTCTGAATTTCCAGTTCGCGGGATTCGGGCGGCAACGGGTGGCCTGGGAGCGGAGCTCAAAGAATTGATATTTAATTAAGTAAAAATTAAATTAAATTTTCGCCGAATTAACTTTGTGATCGGTTCGTTATGACGGGGCGTACGGCGAGTGTGGTGCGGGTGGCCGCCGACAAACTCGAGCGCAACATCAATATCATCAAATACTCGCTTTTCTGCTTCAACGTAATCGCATGGGTAAGTCTAACAACTATTTTTTGAACCGAGTTTAACAGAACTACCGGGCTAAGCAAGAACGCCGTAAATCCATCAAGATTTACGCTCATTTTTAAAACGAGGGTAAAAAAGTCGCTTGGATCTACACTGGAAAAAAAAACACATTAGATCTAGAGTCCAGACTCTTGAAAACATTGACAAGAAAAACTACTCTTGATTCAATCAGATTTTTGCTTAGATCAAAAGGAAATCCGCTCAAATTAAGAGGCTTGGTTCTTGATGTAAGCAAAAATCTGATTGAATTAAGAGTATTTTTTCTTTTCGATGTTTTTAAGAGTCTGGACTCTAGATCCAATGTGTTTTTTTTCCAGTGTAGAGTCCGGACTCTTAAAAACATTGACAAGAAAAGGTACTCTTGATTCAATCGGACTCTTTGCTTGAATCAAAAGGAAATCCGCCTAAATCAAGAGGCTCGGCTCTTCGATTCAAGGAAAAATCCGATTGAATCAAGAGTATTTTTCTTGTCAATGTTATTTAGAGTCTGGACTCTAGATCCAAGCGACTTTTTTCCAGTGTGAAACTTAACACTTTATAAAATAAAAACTGTTTTACCCAAAGCATCTCAAATTTTCAGGATAAGTTCGTGATAGTATTTGCGAAAGAATTCTGTAAAAAGATTGTCCCAAGGTACACAAATTTTTCTGCCGTGATACATTGTTTCCAAAAAATGTAAAATGGCGTTTACGGCTTTTTTGCGTTGCATGGCAGCATGGCAGAGGAAGGAACCAAGCCACATCAGCTATTGCCAGATTTAACTGGTCATTTTATTTTCTTACGAGAAAACTTTTTTGCGGAATCCTTTGAAAATGTTAAGTTTTTTGCTTCGTGCTATGGAGAAAATTCATTGAAATTTGCACAAAAATCCGCACAACCGTTTTAATTTATAAAATTAAATTGCTAAGTTAAATTTGGCAATGGCTGATTTGGCTTGTTTCCTTTTTGCTTAACGCGGTCCATTTTTGTGGAGGAAAACCAGGCATTGTATTTTTGTTCTTTCTTTTTTTGCTAGCTTATTGACTTTTGTTCCGTTCGGAATCCAGCGCCTTCAAGATCGTAAGAATACTTCAAACGCTACACCTTTTGCAAATTGCCTATACTGCGCCTGCTAGAGTGTACACCGTTTTTTAGGTGTACAGCCTCAGCCACCTATAGATAAGAGTAGCTTTATCGTCCACGGACATCAGGGCGATAGGGACATCCATACTTCAAGCTTTTCAAATTTTCAGGAATCAAATGGCGTTGACGGCTTTCTTGCATTACACGGCAGAGGAAGGAACCAAGCCACATCAGCTATTGCCAGATTTAACTGGTCATTTTAATTTCTTACTAGAAAACTTTTGTGCGGATTCCTTTGAAAATGTTAAGTTTTTTGCTTCGAGCTATGGAGAAAATTCATTGAAATTTGCACAAAAATCCGCACAACTGTTTTCATTTTTAAAATTGAATTGCCCGATTAAATTTGGCAATGGCTGATTTGGCTTGTTTCCTTTTTGCTTAACGCGGTCCATTTTTGTGGAGGAAAACCAGGCATTGTTTTTTTGTTCTTTCTTTCTTTGCTAGCTTATTGACTTTTGTACCGTTCGGAATCTAGCGCCTTTAAGATCGTAAGAATACTTCAAACGCTACACCTTTTTACAGTAACGTGCCGATATGCAAATTGCCTATACTGCGCCTGCTAGAGAGTACACCGTTTTTTGAGGTTTACAGCCACAGCCACCTATAGATAAGAGTAGCTTCATCGTCCACGGACATCAGGGCGATAGGAACATCCATACTTCAAGCTTTTCAAATTTTCAGGAATCAAATGGCGTTGACGGCTTTCTTGCATTACACGGCAGAGGAAGGAACCAAGCCACATCAGGTATTGCCAGATTTAACTGGTCGTTTTAATTTCTTACTGGAAAACTTTTACGCGGATTCCTTTGAAAATGTTAAGTTTTTTGCTTCGTGCTATGGAGAAAATTCATTGAAATTTGCCCAAAAATCCGTACAACCGTTTTCATTTTTAAAATTGAATTGCCCAATTAAATTTGGAAATAGCTAATGCGGCTTGGTTCCTTTCTCTTTAGCGCAGTACTTTTGAGAATGTTTATTCCTTCATTTTTCATTGACTGGAATATGAAAATCATGGTTTGAACGCATTTGAAGTGATCCGTCACGGTTTCTGTTGTGGCCAAACTGGTATGTGATATATCGCATATCGACGGTGCAAGTCGGCAATCACATAACTCGTTTGCGGTGTCTGAAAATCTCCGCAGCTATGTTATTTTTTTAAATGAGAACAGATGGACATGATTCCTTGAAGTTTTTGCAAAATTTTCCTCGCACATAGAAGAAAAATCACGGAAGTTTTAAAGAATTTCCGTTGAGTAGTTTTCCGTTTAAAAAATAAAGTATGACAGGAAGTCTGCGACGTCGCAAACCGAGTTATGTGATTGCCGACTTTCACCGTCGATATGGATTATGGCAAAAATCTCGGCAGAGTTTGAATTTTTAGCAAAAAAGGACAAGCCCCTCAGCATGGGCCTAAAATACCATTCTAAGCCAAAACAATAAATTGACAGAATTCAGAGACATGAAAGCGGAATACTATTTGGAAAAAAAACTCATATTCTATGCAAAAATCGACACATGTATCGAATTCGAGGTATTTTCTTCTAAACATGATTCTGATTTCATTTCCCTGAATATGCCATTTTTTTGGTTTAGCATTGTTTAGGCTCATGAGCAGGGTATATTTTTCTTTTCTTGGCTCAAAATTCAAAAGTGACTAACTTTGATTGAACATGACATCATGTGTGTTGAATTAGGCTCTTTTTAACGAGATATTCTGAAGCAGACCATTAGCGTCAGTTTTGTTTTGCAACCATCGCCCTGCAGTAACGACAACTTCCTGACCAACCCAAGACTTCGTACTATGGATGAACGCCATATATGAGCATTCGAATGTTGTCAAATTACGCGTAGTAAAATATTTATTTTAAAAAGTGAAGATTTTTTGAGATAAGAAAAGTTTTATCCACGTCAAGAGTTGAGAAATCTCCGGTTATGAAACCTTTAGTTCTGTTAAAAATATTTTACACAGTTCTGAATTTTTTTTATTAGTCTTAGACCAAACCATTCCCGTGTTCTTTTCTTCCATTCCCATTTGCATTTCTTTTTTTTTACGTTTTACACCAAATACCTTGTTGTAGAAGCACTGTGGTTTGCACGCGGCTTTTAAGATTGGTTGTTTGAACTTTTTTGTTTTGTTTTTGTTTCTTGATTTATCCTTACCTATTCCTTTCCTTTCCTTCCAATGAGAGAGCAATGCCATCATAGATCATCATCTTGATCTGCCATCGTGTATGACGCCATCGCAATCATTGAAAACATGGACACATAATTTCAAAAAAGTAGTTTTCCAGCTGCTTGTTAAAATCGACAGACAAAGCTATAGACAAAGAGGACAAAAATGATATGTAGAGATCATTTTGGTGTAAGTGGGTGGTTGCAATGGACAAAGTGAGTAGTTAATAGACACACCAACGGCAACCCAAGAGAGACCCTACAGTTAATCCATCATTTTCCCTCTCAGTCTTTAAGCTTCATCCATTTCAACCGATAGGATCGCTTCTTACTCCTTCTGTCTTCTTTGTGTATCACTTTTTCTATCGATTTCGACAATCAATCCATGGAACCTCTCTATGCTGATAGACTTTCCTTGCTAACTGGAAAAAAAAAAAANAAAAAAAAAAAAAAAAAAAAAAAAAAAAAAAAAAAAAAAAAAAAAAAATGGATCTAGAGTCCAGACTCTTAAAAACACACTGCCAGCGCAAAACGTGCACTGGCGCCTACAAACCTAAGGGGATACTTCACGTATTGCGCAATGCTTGCAGTATCCCGTTAGGTTTGTAGGCGCCATCGCGCGTTTCGTGCTGGCCGCAGCGAGTCGCGGCGCCTCAAGCAACTATTTCACATCAGAAGTGTTGCACAGTATCATACGAAATTGAAGGCGCTCCTACATATTGATGATGACAGACATCCTTTAAGAGTACGGACCTTCCCTCGCAACATAAATCAAGATACAACGGCAGATAAAGAGAGGACTGGAAAAAAAAACACGTTCGATCTAGAGTCCAGACTCTTAAAAACATCGACAAGAAAAAGTACTCTTGATTCAATCAGATTTAAGCTTAAATCAAGAACGAAGCCTCTTAATTTAAGCGGATTTCGTTTTGATTCGAGCAAAAATTCGATTGAATCAAGAGTATTTTTTCTTGTCAATGTTTTCAAGAGTCTGGACTCTAGATCCAATGTGTTTTTTTTCCAGTGTTGTGAATGCGCTCGAAATGCCCGAGACATACATTGTCAACCAATAGGTCTCTCCATACTCACTATGTCTTCTTTATCGATTGCTATGTCGATCAATTTCAACCAATCAGCCCGCCGAACCATTGTATTTATTGAAAGCAATTCGGCAACCTTCGAAGACTCATACGGTTTTCTTCCTGACCAACACCCAAGACCCGAGTCCCGCGGTGGATTTTATGAGGTCCGTCATTTTCTTCCTGTCAGCCAAGAAAGTGGAGCCTCGTTTGAGAGCTGCTAATTAGCGATGCAGTAATGCCCGGCGCATGACGGCGCGACACGTAGCTTACAAGCTCCGAGGCGCCACGGCAACTCCTGTTGGTCCATGAACACGGCCACCGACTGCCGCCGTTCGATGACCACCTGGACACTGGGTGTAATGGTCCGCAGAGAGGGATTCTGTCCGCTGGTTGCGACGGGACACAAGCAGGCGGTCTCCAACTTGATGAAAATCTTACTTCATGGGCTTCCGAACTTAAAAAACTATGACAAAACGTATTCTGGTCTATTTTGGGGTGTCCTTGGAAAATGACATTCATACGGGTCGTTTTAGCACTGAAAAAAATACGCCGGTCGTGGGTGCCGCAATTACGGGCTATATAGACATACCG